TTGGGGGGCTTTTTAAAACTGCCCCCATCCCTGGTTTTAAAAATAAAATTCCCTGTTAAAATTGGGCCTCTTTTTTTAATCCCCCTTCTCTAAAAATTCCTTCCTTATTTTTCTCTCCCCTTCTCCTCTTTCTTTCTCTCCTCTCTCTTCTCCTCTCTCTCTCTCTCTCTCTCTCTCTCTCTCTCTCTCTCTCTCTCTCTCTCTCTCTCTCAATTCAATTCAATTCAATTCAATTACATTTCAATTTTAAGGGCTTTATTGGCATGGGAAACGTATGTTAACATTGCCAAAGCAAGTGAAGTAGATAGTAAACAAAAGTGAGATAAACAATAAATATTAACAGTAAACATTACACTCAGAAGTTCCAAAAGAATAAAGACATTTCAAATGTTCCTATTATGGTATATATATACAGTTTGTAACAATGTGCAAATAGTTAAAGTACAAATGGTAAAATAAATAAACATAAATATGGGTTGTATTTACAATGGTGTTTGTTCTTCACTGGTTGCCCTTTTCTTGTGGCAACAGGTCACAAATCTTGCTGCTATGATGGCACACTTTGGTTTTCACCCAGTAGATAAGGGAGTTTATCAAAATTGGGTTTGTTTTAGAATTCTTTGTGGATCTCTGTAATCTGAGGGAAATATGTGTCTCTAATATGGTCATACATTTGGCAGGAGGTTAGGAAGTGCAGCTCAGTTTCCACCTCATTTTGTGGGCAGTGTGCACATAGCCTGTCTTCTCTTGAGAGCCAGGTCTGCCTACGGCGGCCTTTCTCAATAGCAAGGCTATGCTCACTGAGTCTGTACATAGTGAAAGTTTTCCTAAAGTTTGGGTCAGTCACAGTTTTCAGGTATTCTGCCACTGTGTACTCTCTGTTTAGAGCCAAATAGCATTCTAGTTTGCTCTGTTTTTTTGTTAATTCTTTCCAATGTGTCAAGTAATTCTATTTTGTTTTCTCATGATTTGTTAGGGTCTAATTGTGTTGTTGTTGCTGTCCTGGGGCTCTGTGGGGTCTGTTTGTGTTTGTGAACAGAGCCCCAGGACCAGTTTACTTTAGGGGACTCTTCTCCAAGTTCATCTCTTTGTAGGTGATGGCTTTGTTATGGAAGGTTTGGGAATCGCTTCCTTTGAAGTGGTTATAGAATTTAACTGCTCTTTTCTGGTTTTGGATAATTAGCAGGTATCGGCCTAATTCTGCTCTGCATGCATTATTTTGTATTTTTTGTTGTACACTGAGGATATTTTTGCAGAATTCTGCATGCAGAGTCTCAATTTGGTGTTTGTCCCATTTTGTGAATTCTTGGTTGGTGAGCGGACCCCAGACCTCACAACCATGAAGGGCAATGTGTTCTATAACTGATTCAAGTATTTTTAGCCAGATCCTAATTGGGATGTCGAATGCTATGTTCCTTTTGATGGCATAGAAGGCCCTTCTTGCCTTGTCTCTCAGATCGTTCACAGCTTTGTGGAAGTTACCTGTGGCGCTGATGTTTAGGTCGAGGTATGTATAGTTTTTTGTGTGCTCTAGAGCAATGGTGTCTAGATGGAATGTGTATTTGTGGTCCTGGCAACTGGACCTTTTTTGGAACACCATTATTTTTGTCTTACTGAGATTTACTGTCAGGGCCCAGGTCTGACAGAATCTGTGCAGAAGATCTAGGTGCTGCTGTAGACCCTCCTTGGTTGGTGACAGAAGCACCAGATCATCAGCAAACAGCAGACATTTGACTTCAGATTCTAGTAGGGTGAGGCCGGGTGCTGCAGACTGTTCTAGTGCCCTCGCCAATTTGTTGATATATATGTTGAAGAGGGTGGGGCTTAAACTGCATCCCTGTCTCACCCCACGGCCCTGTGGAAAGAAATGTGTTTTTTGCCAATTTTAACCGCACACTTGTTGTTTGTGTACATGGATTTTATAATGTCGTATGTTTTTCCCCCAACCCCACTTTCCATCAATTTGTATAGCAGACCCTCATGCCAAATTGAGTCAAAAGCTTTTTTGAAATCAACAAAGCATGAGAAGACTTTGCCTTTGTTTTGGTTTGTCAATTAGGGTGTGCAGGGTGACTACATGGTCTGTCGTATGGTAATTTGGTAAGAAGCCAATTTGACATTTGCTCAGTACATTGTTTTCACTGAGGAAATGAACTAGTCTGCTGTTAATGATAATGCAGAAGATTTTCCCCAAGGTTGATGTTGACGCATATCCCACGGTAGTTATTGGGGTCAAATTTGTCTCCACTTGTGGATTGGGGTGATCAGTCCTTGGTTCCAAATATTGGGGAAGATGCCAGAGCTAAGGATGATGTTAAAGAGTTTAAGTATAGCCAATTGGAATTTGTGGTCTGTATATTTTATCATTTCGTTGAGGATACCATCAACACCACAGGCCTTTTTGGGTTGGAGGGTTTGTATTTTGTCCTTTAGTTCATTCAATGTAATTGGAGAATCCAGTGGATTCTGGTAGTCTTTAATAGTTGATTCTAAGATTTGCATTTGATCACGTATATTTTTTTGCTGTTTGTTCTTTGTTATAGGGCCAAAAATATTGGAGAAGTGGTTTACCCATACATCTCCGTTTTGGATAGATAGCTCATCGTGTTGTTGTTTGTTTAGTGTTTTCCAATTTTCCCAGAAGTGGTTAGAGTCTATGGATTCTTCAATTACATTGAGCTGATTTCTGACATGCTGATCCTTCTTTTTCCGTAGTGTATTTCTGTATTGTTTTAGTGATTCACCATAGTGAAGGCGTAGGCTCAGGTTTTTCTGGGGTCTCTATGTTTTTGGTTGGATAGGTTTCTCCAATTTCTTTATTAGGTTTTTACATTCTCATCAAACCATTATCACTGTTGTTACTTTTCTTTGGTTTTCTGTTAGAGATTTTTAGATTTGATAGGGAAGCTGAGAGGTCAAATATACTGTTTAGGTTTTCTACTGCCAAGTTTACACCTTCACTATTACAGTGGAAAGTTTTGTCCAGGAAGTTGTCTAGAATGGATTGAATTTATTGTTGCCTAATTGTTTTTTGGTAGGCTTCAACACTACTTACCTTCCATCTATAGCATTTCTTAATATTATTCAGTTCCTTTGGCTTTGATGCCTCATGATTGAGTATTGCTCTGTTCAAGTAGACTGTGATTTTGCTGTGGTCTGATAGGGGTGTCAGTGGGCTGTAATCTCTCTCTCTCTCTCTCTCTCTCTCTCTCTCTCTCTCTCCTCTCTTCTCCTCTCTCTCTCTCTTCTCTCTCTCTCTCCAGGCCCATGTGTTTTGTGAAGCAACTGGAGGTGCCTCATTGCAGGCAGTACAGGCCCAACATGATACCCGCCACCCCTCGTGCCAACCTGGCCAAGGAGCTGGAGAAGTACTCCAAGGTCTCCTTCGATTATGCAAGCTTCGACTGTCAGGTGTTTGGAAAGCGCATGCTTGCTTCAAATATAACGACCAGCGAAACCTCACCCAAAGCCTTCAAATGTAAGGAAAAGTGATGGTGTACTAATAGCCACATACATGAAACCTATACAGTACCAGTCAAAAGTTTGGACACACCTACTCATTCCAGAGTTTTTCTTTATTTTTACTATTTTCTACATTGTAGAATAATAGTGAAGACATCAAAACTACGAAATAACACATTTGGAATCATGTAGTAACCAAAAAAGTGTTAAATAAATCAAAATATATTTTAGATTTTAGATTCTTCAAAGTATCCACCCTTTGCCTCGATGACAGCTTTGCACACTCTTGGCATTCTCTCAACCAGATTCATGAGGTAGTCACCTGGAATGCAGTTCAATTAACAGGTGTGCCTTCTTAAAAGTTAATTTGTGGAATTTCTTTCCTTCTTAATGCGTTTGAGCCAATCAGTTGTGTTGTGACAAGATAGGGGTGGTATACAGAAGATAGCCCTATTTGGTAAAATACCAAGTCCATATTATGGCAAGAACAGCTCAAATAAGCAAAGAGAAATGACGGTCCATCATTACTTTAAGACATGAAGGTCAATCAATACGGAAAATGTCAAGAACTTTGAAAGTTTCTTTAAGTGCAGTCGCAAAAACCACCAAGCGCTATGATGAAACTGGCTTTCATGAGTACCGCCACAGGAATGGAAGACCCAGAGTTACCTCTGCTGCAGAGGATAAGTTCATTAGAGTTAGATTTCAGCCCAAATAAATGCTTCACAGAGTTCAAGTAACAGACACATCTCAACATCAACTGTTCAGAGGAGACTGCGTGAATCAGGCCTTCATTTTCGAATTGCTGCAAAGAAACCACTACTAAAGGACACCAATAAGAAGAAGAGATTTGCTTGGGCCAAGAAACACGAGCAATGGACATTAGACCGGTCCAAATGTGAGATTTTTGGTTCCAACCTGCCGTGTCTTTGTGAGACAGAGTAGGTGAAGGAGGAGGTGTGATGGTGTGGGGGTGCTTTGCTGGTGACACTGTCAGTGATTTATTTAGAATTCAAGGCACACTTAACCAGCATGGCTACCACAGCATTCTGCAGCGATAAGCTATCCCATCTGGTTTGCGCTTAGTGGGACTATCATTTGTTTTTCAACAGGACAATGACCCAAAACACACCTCCAGGCTGTGTAAGGGCTAATTGAACAAGAAGGAGAGTGATGGAGTGCTGCATCAGATGACCTGGCCTCCACTATCACCCGACCTCAACCAAATTGAGATGGTTTGGGATGAGTTGGACCGCAGAGTGAAGGAAAAGCCGCCAACAATTGCTCAGCATATGTGGGAACTCCTTCAAGACTGTTGGAAAAGCATTCCTCATGAAGCCATTTGAGAGAATGCCAAGAGTGTGTAAAGCTGTCATCGAGGCAAAGGGTGGCTACTTTGAAGAATCTAAAATCTAAAATATATTTTGATTTGTTTAACACTTTTTTGGTTACTACATGATTCCATATGTGTTATTTCATACAATGTAGAAAATAGTAAAAATAAAGAAAAGCCCTTGAATGAGTAGGTGTGTCCAAACTTATGACTGGTACTGTACATGCATACATACAGTTGAAGTCAGAAGTTTACATACACTTAGGTTGGAGTCATTAAAACTCGTTTTTCAACCACTCCACAAATGTCTTGTTAACAAACTATAGTTTTGGCAAGTCGGTTAGGACATCTACTTTGTGCATGACACAAGTAATTTTTCCAACAATTGTTTACAGACAGATTATTTCACTTATAATTCACTGTATCACAATTCCAGTGGGTCAGAACTTTACATACACTAAGTTGACTGTGCCTTTAAACAGCTTGGAAAATTCCATAAAATTATGTCATGGATTTAGAAGCTTCTGATAGGCTAATTGACATCATTTGAGTCAATTGGAGGTGTACCTGTGGATGTATTTCAAGGCCTACCTTCAAACCCAGTGGCTCTTTGCTTGACATCATGGGAAAATCAAAAGAAATCAGCCAAGACCTCAGACATTTTTTTTGGGATCTCCACAATTCTGGTTCATCCTTGGGAGCAATTTCCAACTGCCTGAAGGTACCATGTTCATCTGTACAAACAATAGTACGCAAGTATATACACCATAGGACCACGCAGCTGTCATACCGCTCAGGAAGGAGACGCGTTCTGTTTCCTAGAGATTAACATACTTTGGTGCGAAAAGTGCAAATCTGGAGGAAACAGGTACAAAAGTATCTATATCCACAGTAAAACGAGTCCTACATCAACATAACCTGAAAGGCCGCTCAGCAAGGACGAAGCTACTGCTCCAAAACTGCCATAATAAAGCCAGACTACGGTTTGCAACTGCACATGGGGACAAAGATCGTACTTTTTGGAGAAATGTCCTCTGGTCTGATGAAACAAAAATATAACTCTTTGGCCATAATGACCATTGTTATGTTTGGAGGAAAAAGGGGGTGGATTGCAAGCCGAAGAACACCATCCCAACCATGAAGCACGGGGGTGGCAGCATCATGCTGTGGGGGTGCTTTGCTGCAGGAGGGACTGGTGCACTTCACAAAATAGATGGCATCATGAGGAAGGAAAATTATGTGGATATATTGAAGCAACATCTCAAGACATCAGTCAGGAAGTTAAAGCTTGGTCGCAAATGGGTCTTCCGAATGGACAATGACCCCAAGCATACTTCCAAAGTTGTGGCAAAATGGTTTAAGGACAACAAAGTCAAGGTATTGGAGTGGCCATCACAAAGCCCTGACCTCAATCCTATAGAACATTTGTGGGCATAACTGAAAAAGCTTGTGCGAGCAAGGAGGCCTACAAACCTGACTCAGTTACACCAGCTCTGTCAGGAGGAATGGGCCAAAATTCACCCAACTTATTGTGGGAAGCTTGTGGAAGGCTACCCGAAATGTTTGACCCAAGTTAAACAATTTAAAGGCAATGCTACCAAATACTAATTGAGTGTATGTAAACTTCTGATCCACTGGGAATGTGATAAAAGAAATAAAAGCTGAAATAAATCATTCTCTCTACAATTATTCTGACATTTCACATTCTTAAAATAAAGTGGTGATCCTAACTGACCTAAGACAGGGAATTTTTACTAGGAATAAATGTCAGAAATTGTGAAAAACTGAGTTTAAATGTATTTGGTTAAGGTGTATGTAAACTTCCGACTTCAACTGTATATGCATACAGTGGGGAAAAAAAGTATTTAGTCAGCCACCAATTGTGCAAGTTCTCCCACTTAAAAAGATGAGAGAGGCCTGTAATTTTCATCATAGGTACACGTCAACTATGACAGACAAAATGAGAAGACAAAAATCCAGAAAATCACATTGTAGGATTTTTAATGAATTTATTAGCAAATTATGGTGGAACATAAGTATTTGGTCAATAACAAAAGTTTCTCAATACTTTGTTATATACCCTTTGTTGGCAATGACACAGGTCAAAGGTTTGTTGCTGGTATTTTTTTTTTAATGAATTTATTTGCAAATTATGGTGGAAAATAAGTATTTGGTCACCTACAAACAAGCAAGATTTCTGGCTCTCACAGACCTGTAACTTCTTCTTTAAGAGTCTCCTCTGTCCTCCACTCGTTACCTGTATTAATGGCACCTGTTTGAACTTGTTATCAGTATAAAAGACACCTGTCCACAACCTCAAACAGTCACACTCCAAACTCCACTATGGCCAAGACCAAAGAGCTGTCAATGGACACCAGAAACAAAATGGTAGACCTGCACCAGGCTGGGAAGACTGAATCTGCAATAGGTAAGCAGCTTGGTTTGAAGAAATCAACTGTGGGAGCAATTATTAGGAAATGGAAGACATACAAGACCACTGATAATCTCCCTCGATCTGGGGCTCCACGCAAGATCTCACCCCGTGGGGTCAAAATGATCACAAGAACGGTGAGCAAAAATCCCAGAACCACACGGGGGGACCTAGTGAATGACCTGCAGAGAGCTGGGACCAAAGTAACAAGGCCTACCATCAGTAACAAACTATGCCGCCAGGGACTCAAATCCTGCAGTGCCAGACGTGTCCCCCTGCTTAAGACAGTACATGTCCAGGCCCGTCTGAAGTTTGCTAGAGTGCATTTGGATGATCCAGAAGAGGATTGGGAGAATGTCATATGGTCAGATGAAACCAAAATAGAACTTTTATGTAAAAACTCAACTCGTCATGTTTGGAGGACAAAGAATGCTGAGTTGCATCCAAAGAACACCATACCTACTGTGAAGCATGGGGGTGGAAACATCATGCTTTGGGGCTGTTTTTCTGCAAAGGGACCAGGACGACTGATCCGTGTAAAGGAAAGAATGAATGGGGCCATGTATCGTGATATTTTGAGTGAAAACCTCCTTCCATCAGCAAGGGCATTGAAGATGAAACGTGGCTGGGTCTTTCAGCATGACAATGATCCCAAACACACCGCCCGGGCAACGAAGGAGTGGCTTCGTAAGAAGCATTTCAAGGTCCTGGAGTGGCCTAGCCAGTCTCCAGATCTCAACCCCATAGAAATCTTTGGAGGGAGTTGAAAGTCCGTGTTGCCCAGCGACAGCCCCAAAACATCACTGCTCTAGAGGAGATCTGCATGGAGGAATGGGCCAAAACACCAGCAACAAACGTTTGACCTGTGTGTCATTGCCAACAAAGGGTATATAACAAAGTATTGAGAAACTTTTGTTATTGACCAAATACTTATTTTCCACCATAATTTGCTAATAAATTCATTAAAAATCCTACAATGTGATTTTCTGGATTTTTTTCTTCTCATTTTGTCTGTCATAGTTGACGTGTACCTATGATGAAAATTACAGGCCTCTCTCATGTTTTTAAGTGGGAGAACTTGCACAATTGGTGGCTGACTAAATCCTTTTTTTCCCCACTGTACATACAGACACACAACAGAACAAGATGACATATCTCTGTTTCTCTGCTCCCTCAGCTAAACTCTCGTCCCCCAAGTCTTCTTCTCCCAGCCTCTGCCTGCATGGAGGCTATGGAAAGACTGCCTCCTCTTCTGCCTACGACTACTCCCATGATGCCCAGGCCGCCCACATGGCTGCCACCGCCATCCTCAACCTGTCCACGCGCTGCTGGGAGAGGCCTGAGCACCTGAGCACAAAGCACCAGGACCTGGCCAGCAAGGTAGACCAGCCCCCGCCCTATCTCTGGAGCAAGTTAGCAACATCTCTCTCGCATCGTCTTCATAACACCTTTTATACTGCCAATCAACATAGGCTCTGCTCCCCATCAAGATAACTTTTCCCTCTACTTTTAGAGGGAATTAATGAACTTGCTGCAGAGCTGATGGCATTACTGCAGGTTACCACAGGGGAGATGTGAGGAGCAGAATTTTTACATAAAATATCGTCAAATGGTCGTCAAATTTAGAGTACACTTTAACAGTGAATGTAACAGATTAAAGGCCTGTTATTATTATTATTATTATTATTATTATTATTATTATTTACTATTTGCATTGTGAAAAGTGATGTAAAATTGCTTATAATATGATTAATACTTCCAACTGTTATTATTTTTTGGAAGAAAAAACATCTAGAATCTACAAATATATATATTTGTGGACCACCTGCAGTAAACCCGCTGACCACAGGTTGAAAACCACTGTCCTAGACACCTAAAGCTCAACCACTGCCAAGCAAATACATGAATATAACATTAGGTGGCATTAGTTAAAAGCAAGAGGGTAATGTTGAGGTGCAGTTGCATCACCTCTCTCTCTCCTCTTTGTTTCTACTCCTCCATCTTTTTCATGTTGTTATTGAATTTGGCTGGCTGCCAGTTCCATGGATTATGCTGCACTAGGTAGTCTTTTTTCATTATCTTTTGGCTGGATCTCTCTCTCTCTGTTCCTACCTCCCTCCTTCTCTCTCTCTCTCTCTGTTCCTCCCTCTCTCTGTTCCTCCCTCCCTCCCTCCCTCCCTCCCTCCCTCCCTCTCTCTGTTCCTCCCTCTCTCTGTTCCTCCCTCCCTCCTCCTCTCTCTCTCTCTGTTCCTCCCTCCCTCCTCCTCTCCCCCCTCTTTTCCTCCCTCTCGGTCTATCTTTACACAGGAGGTGTAATCGTAGCAGCAGTCTCCCCCATATTGTGACTTTTTAAAAGCTTTTTGCCTTGACGGGGAGAGTGACTGCTTCATCATTTTTCGATTTCCTGACATGGTGTTGGGGGGATAAAAAGAGAAGATTAATGGCCATAGCAGTTCAGTAGCACAGTGCTAATCAGCCAGGGACCGTTCTGGGACCAGGGCCCGTTTCTCTCTCTCCCCACAGCCTCCGTGCCACGACGAACCACTTTGATTTCTCTGGCTCCTCCACAACCCATATGAATACCATTTCAGATTAACACTAAAGAGAAGGCCTGTTTCCCCGGTCCCCCCTTTACAGATCTGCCAAAACAAATGGTGCTTGAACAGCGCTGTTGGCAATGTTATGTCCAGTGTACATTGGAGATTACAGACGTGTCTAACAGAGACAGACTGTGGTGTGGCAATGTTGTGATTGTGATCACCACTATTTATGCCCTCTGCAGGACATTGAGGTGGATGAGAACGGCACTCTGGACCTGAGTATGAAGAAGCCCGTCAAACGAGAGGGTACCAGCCCTGGGATGTGCTCCCCGGACCCCTCCTCCTCTTCCTCCCTGCACCACGGAGGCAGCAGTGGCATGACCTCGCCCCACACATGCCACGCCTACAAACAGGAACACTGGGAGGAGCCTCTGGACTACACCAAACCCAACCGCCAGCGAGAGGAGGATGTAGAGGAGGTCTGTCCTCTATAGTCTTCATCATCCTTCCTTTCCACTTCTCCTCTTTAAGATCACGGAGGCTCGTTGCCATCTTCTCTACACTCATGCCTAGCAATTAAAATGTACTGAAGGATCGGATCTTCTTATTTCCATTTTATTCCACAGCTGGAGCACCACACAGCGCGGTCGTTTGCCTCGTCCGACCCTGAGGACATGGATCTGACGCAGGATTACCCCGAGGAGAGGAAGTACCCTGGAGAGGTCACCACCCCAATCTTCAAGGTCCAGTTCCAACAGACCAAGGACTGCAAGAAAGATCTGCTCCTGTAAGGCCATGATCTACACTTAGAAATAAAGGCATGATCTAGAACCAGAAAGTCCCATTCTGATCCCCTTTCCTCTGAGATACTGTCATTCACCATTCCCCTCTCCTCTCCTCTCCTCTCCTCTCCTCTCCTCTCCTCTCCTCTCCTCTCCTCTCCTCTCCTCTCCTCTCCTCTCCTCTCCTCTCCTCTCCTCTCCTCTCCTCTCCTCTCCTCTCCTCTCCTCTCCTCTCCTCTCCTCTCTATGTGTGTCTCCAGGTGCCCCACTCCTGGCTGTGACGGCAGTGGCCACATCACTGGAAACTATGCATCCCATCGCAGGTATGGTATTCCCTGAATGAGGCCCTGAATGATGTAGTCACACTGTATATAGGAAGCACGCTGGCTACCTACTGGTTTAGATTAAGATTGCATCAATAATAAAACGTTTTCCTTCTTGGCTGTTTTCTATTTTCAAAATACTTTTCCAATTACCTTGAACTATATTCCATCTTTGATTTGATCTCTATCTCTCTCTTATTGTCTTTCTCTTTCTCGTTCTCTCTTCTCTCTTCTCTCTTCTCTCTCCCTTCAGTCTGTCTGGCTGTCCTCTTGCTGATAAGAGTCTTCGTTCCCTCATGGCGGCCCACTCTGCTGAGCTCAAGTATGTCTGTTTCCCACTGGGCTTTCCCCTTACTCAATGCCTTGGTTCAATGCTAAATTCGATTTCCTTCTATTTCTGCTGTTTTTACTGGGACTGCTAACACTTATGTTGCTGCATCTGCCCTTGTAATTATCCTGCCCCCATCTCCACTGAAAAACCAATACCTCTACACCCTCACACCCATCAGTTGCTATGGTGCAAATGTAATGGTTCTATTTGTTGCTGCGCTGACATTTAACCCGTTCCCTTAATTTCCCAGGTGCCCCACTCCAGGATGTGATGGTTCAGGACATAACACTGGAAACTACGCCTCCCACAGAAGGTACAGAGCTCATCAGTGAACTACCAACCTACCTCCACCAGCCCTACCTACCTTCCATCTCATATGGGAGACAGTCGCAAAATACCTTCTCTGTCCCTCTCTCTCTCTTTCTCACACACACAGACACACAAGGCCAGAGAAGCTTAGAAAGAGATCATGATAGTTTTAGGCAGGACTCATAGACTCACACACCCACACACAGTTGTGAAAATGAAGTTTTGTCCATTTTTTATATGCTTATCTTTTTTTATTTTGTTTACTACTTTGTTGGATTTCAAATAGCTGTTTGGTTTCTTTTATTTTAATTTAAAAAACATTGCACTTTCTTTCGGCGTTAGAATAAAAAAAATTAATGCTTACATAGAATGTTCCATCCCTTTGTCAAACAATAACGTCACCACCATAAAAGACGATTGTTGAAGGTGTTTTTCCACCCTTTTTTTATCGGCTTCATACTTTCTGTTTTCAGTTTGTCTGGGTGCCCCCGTGCCAAGAAAAGTGGATTAAAAACAGCCCCCACCAAGGACGACAAGGAGGACTCCGAGCTCTTAAAGTTCGTACCACTAAGAAAGCCACGCCCTTTTTTCTTCTAATTAAGAAATACGGTAAACGTCACTTCCAAAAAAGTAAAGGCAGTCACCCTGACCTCCGTGACCTCAGCCCAGTCTGTCTCCGATAGATGACATCACACCAGTGCCACACGCAGACCAGCCTGAGACGCACTGCGCTGCCTGCGCTGACTCATAGTACTGTAGTTCATCGTAGAGTATTGCAGTGTAGATCACATTATTACATCTCGCATTTCTCTGAAATCGTCGTCAACTCCAACTGTTTGTTGACGACAGCCAATAAAAGACCTTGGCGTCTGTGTTTGTTGAATGTGCTTTGCTTGGTTATGCTACCACAACATGATGCCATGCAAGAGGTGGAGTACCTAAAGTGGGGTACCTATAATGTAAAACCTATGGCGGAGAAGTAACACTTTGTTTTTAGTCGGGCAGGTTTTTGGGCCCATTGTGAAATAGTGTTGCATAGTGAAATTGCACTAGCTACTGTAATGGCAGTCTTATATATATATATATATATATATGTAAAAAATATATTACATTATGTTATAACTAGATGTACCATTCACCTTGTGCTTTCCATCTCATCTCTCTCTATGAGTCTCATATCTATAGAGATACTAATGTTACACATCCCTCTCTCCCCTCCAGATGCCCCGTGTCTGGCTGTGACAGCCTGGGTCACATCAGTGGGAAGTACGCCACTCATCGCAGTGCCTATGGGTGCCCGCTAGCTGCCCGCAGGCAGAAGGAGGGGATGCTCAATGGTAACCCTTTCTCCTGGAAGGCCTTTAAGACGGAGGCCTCCAACTGCCCCACCCCCAGCTGTGATGGATCAGGACATGCCAACGGCAGCTTCCTAACACACCGCAGGTAAGGACCAATCACAACACAGCAGAGGGCAGCTTCCTCACACACCGCAGGTACGGACCAATCACAACACAGCAGAGGGCAGCTTCCTCACACACAACGCAGGTACGGACCAATCCCAACACAGAACACAGGCCAGCTGACGGACAGATTATTACCACTGGTTGCATTATCAATATAACTGTATCATTTTGTGGTTCATTCATGGTTTTAAATACTCAACTTGATGAAATTGACCATCTTTATACCTCCTGTTTGTAGTCTCTCTGGCTGTCCCAGAGCTTCCTTTGCCAGAAAGAAAGCCAAGATCCCTGGAGATGAATACCTGAGCACCAAGTTCAGGGCCAGCGACGGTAAAAGCACAACTGAATAGGGAATACCTTTATGTAACAGTCAATGTCCAGCCAATACCCAGTTAGCACATTTGGTTCATTGGAAGTTGTGGGAACGTATGCTTTTGGTTTCACATTGGTTGTGGGAACGAAGACATACATTTCTTGACCGATAAACTGAACGTTTTTTAAACATTCTGAGAACAGAAGTGAACATTTCCTCTGATCTGGGAACGTTTATTTTTAGGTTGCAGGGAGGTTCTGAGAACGTTTTACTCTGATTCCTTTAAAGTTTTCCTGGGAGGTTTTATCAATGCTCTGAGAATGGAAATTATAGGTCATTTAGAGTTTTTTGAATAACTGCCTTAAAACATTCACTGAATGTTTCAGTAATACTTTTAATAACACTGCTAGCTTATTTTGGGTTCACTTTTTTTTTTTACTCCGGGCACAGATAGGACCAATGATGTATATAAACCCTGGATTGCTGATTCTATGTATTGGCCAATGAGAGGCTTTGAAGACACCGGTCGGCCATATTGGCTCCCCAGTAGGAGAAAATTACATCTATTTAAGTATTTTTAGTTGTTGTTGTAGTGGGGACAGGAACATTAGTACTCTCTAAACATTATACTTTAATGAATATTTTTTTGGTATAAAAGTATTTGATCCCCTGCTGATTTTGTACGTTTGCCCACTGACAAAGACATGATCAGTCTATAATTTTAATGGTAGGTTTATTTGATGAGTGAGAGACAGAATAACAGCAAAAAAATCCAGAAAAAACGCATGTCAAAAATGTTATAAATTGATTTGCATTTTAATGAGGGAAATAAGTATTTGACCCCTCTGCAAAACATGATTTAGTACCTGGTGGCAAAAACCCTTGTTGTCAATCACAGAGGTCAGACGTTTCTTGTAGTTGGCCACCAGGTTTGCACACATCTCAGGGGGGATTTTGTTCCACTCCTCTTTGCAGATCTTCTCCAAGTCATTAAGGTTTCGAGGCTGACGTTTGGCAACTTGAACCTTCAGCTCCCTCCACAGATTTTCTATGGGATTAAGGTCTGGAGACTGGCTAGGCCACTCCAGGACCTTAATGTGCTTCTTCTTGAGCCACTCCTTTGTTGCCTTGGCCGTGTGTTTTGGGTCATTGTCATGCTGGAATACCCATCCACAACCCATTTTCAATGCCCTGGCTGAGGGAAGGAGTTTCTCACCCAAGATTTGACGGTACATGGCCCCGTCCATCTTCCCTTTGATGCGGTGACTTGTCCTGTCCCCTTAGCAGAAAAACACCCCCAAAGCATAGTGTTTCCACCTCCATGTTTGACGGTGGGGATGGTGTTCTTGGGGTCATAGGCAGCATTCCTCCTCCTCCAAACACAGCGAGTTGAGTTGATGCCAAAGAGCTCGATTTTGGTCTCATCTGACCACAACACTTTCACCCAGTTCTCCTCTGAATCATTCAGATGTTCATTGGCAAACTTCAGACGGGCCTGTATATGTGCTTTCTTGAGCAGGGGGACCTTGCGGGCGCTGCAGGATTTCAGTCCTTCACGGCATAGTGTGTTACCAATTGTTTTCTTGGTGACAATGGTCCCAGCTGCCTTGAGATCATTGACAAGATCCTCCCTTGTAGTTCTGGGCTGATTCCTCACCGTTCTTATGATCATTGCAACTCCACGAGGTGAGATCTTGCATGGAGCCCCAGACCGAGGGAGATTGACAGTTCTATTGTGTTTCTTCTATTTGCGAATAATCGCACCAACTCTTGTCACCTTCACACCAAGCTGCTTGGCGATGGTCTTGTAGGCCATTCCAGCCTTGTGTAGGTCTACAATCTTGTCCCTGACATCCTTGGAGAGCTCTTTGGTCTTGGCCATGGTGGAGAGTTTGGAATCTGATTGATTGATTGCTTCTGTGGACAGGTGTCTTTTATACAGGTAACAAGCTGAGATTAGGAGTGCTCCTAATCTCAGCTCGTTACCTATATAAAAGACACTTGGGAGCCAGAAATCTTTCTGATTGAGAGGGGGTCAAATACTTATTTCCCTCATTAAAATGCAAATCCATTTATAAAAAAATGTTATGCATTTCAAAGGAAACAAGCACTCATACACACTTAACAAGAGAGAGGATAGAGTGAGTTTTGTTGATGCTGAGAACGGAATGTATATGTTTTTAAATAACATTCTTAGAACTTTCTCTGAATGTTACTAAAGTTTTCTTGTGGTTTTTATGGAAAGTTTTCTTAACATTCTCTGAACAATGTGAGAACATTCCCAATGTCAAACCAGTTGGAGAACGTTCCTAGAACATTACCAAAATGTTAAATAAATGTCACCATGTTTGAACTTTTAGGAAACGTTCTGTTAAAGTAATAAAATACCAAGAAAATAAAAAGGGTTTTGTCAAGTTCCTTCAATGTGCTGAGAATGTTCCAAAGCCAAGCAACCATCCTGCACCATTCCCAGAACGTTGTGGGAAGGTTATATGCAAAATAACCATAGGACAACCACGCTCTCACCAAGCTCTAAGAAACGTACGGTTCTCAGAACGTTATGTGCTAGCTGGGTACAGTATTTCAAACTAGGATGGCCCATTTTTCCTGTCCCCTCTTATAGCCTTATGCATCTCAATCATCTCTTCCCGTCCATCCTGTAGTTCTGAATAATGACGAGGACATCAAGCAACTCAACAAGGAGATCTATGAGCTCAACGAGACCAACAACGAGATGGAGACAGACATGGTGAACCTGCAGACACAGGTGTGTGTGTGTGTGTGTGCTCATGTTTGAAAACCTCAAACCCCCTACATTTTGATATATTGCAAAATGCCTAAGCTCAAGTAAATCTATAAACTGTATGTGTAAATAACTGTTGGGCCTGTGGTGCAGATCTCATCCATGGAGAAGAACCTGAAGAACATTGAGGAGGAGAACAAGCTGATAGAGGAGCAGAAGGAAGCTCTCTTCATGGAGCTATCTGGCCTCAGCCACGCCCTGATCCGCAGCTTGGCCAACATACGCCTCCCACACATGGTGAGTTATATACAGTTTACGTACAGTTACATACAGTGCTGACAAAGCTGTGGCCGAGGCTCAAACATGCAGACACACACTAATACAAACACTGACACAAACACACTGACACAAACACACTGACAGAAACACACTGACACAAACACACTGACACAAACACACTGACAGAAACACACTGACACAAACACACTGACACAAACACACTGACAGAAACACACTGACAGAAACACACTGACACAAACACCTACACACACACACAAAACACACTGACAACAACAAACTGACACAAACAAACAAACACACTAAGACACTAACACACTAACACAAACACAACACACAAACACCACAACACACTACAACAAAAACACACTAAACACAAACACACTAACAAACACACAACCACTAACACACTAACACTAAAACACAAACACACAAACACAAACACACTAACTCAAACACACAAACACACTAACACAAACACACTAAAACACAAACACACTAAAACACAAACACACTAAAACACAAAACACTAACTCACTAACACAAACACACTAAACAGAAACACTACCCTAACACAAACACACTAACAGAAACTAACACAAACACACTAACAGAAACTAACACAAACACACTAACTCAAACACACTACCAGAAACACACTAACACAAACAAATACACACAAACAAAATTCCTTGTTTTTGCATCGCAGCAGGAGCCAATCACTGAGCAGAATTTCGACAGCTACGTGAGCACCCTGACTGACATGTACACCAACAAGGAGTGCTACCAGAACCCGGAGAACAAGGCTCTGCTGGAGAACATCAACAAGGCTGTGAAGAGCATCAAGGTGTGAAAACCTCCACGATGAAGAAGAGTGAAAACATGAAAAAGGAAAAGAGATGGCGTCAAGAGACTGGAGTATATATTAAAAGAGAATACAAATACAAAAAGGGGCATTCAGGTTTTATAAACAGCAACTTAAATTAAACCCAGGGAGCATTCTGTAAAGAAGAAAACGTAACTAGGACCAAAATCCAAACATGCTGCTGCTGGGATTAGAACGAGGAAGTGGAACGGAACCAAATCCTTCAGTTTGACTTGATTAACTAAATATATATCTGGGGTTTTGTTTCTTTGTTTTATGTCACCTTCGTCATTTTCATGTCTGTGCTGTTTTGGAGGTATCTCTGTTTTGGAGGTATCTCTGTTTTGGAGGTATCTCTGTTTTGGAGGTATCTCTGTTTTGGAGGTATTTCTGTTTTGGAGGTGTCTCTGTTTTGGAGGTATCTCTGTTTTGGAGGTATCTCTGTTTTGGAGGTATCTCTGTTTTGGAGGTATCTCTGTTTTGGAGGTATCTCTTTGACTGTCCCAATTCAGACTGTAATTCAAGCTTTAGTTCAGCAACAATTTGGAGAAGAAAGAAAGAAAGAAAGAAAGAAAGAAAGAAAGAAAGAAAGAAAGAAAGAAAGAAAGAAAGAAAGAAAGAAAGAAAGAAAGAAAGAAAGAAAGAAAAGATGGATGGATGGAAGTAGTGGTGTGATGTCAGATAAAACAGAGGGTATGAACCGCCTACATGAGGTGAAGAAAACCCATGTGCAGTAAATAACAAAAGAAAGCTGGAAAACTGTCCACATTGTGTCCCAGGGAAGAACACAAAGACTTCAGAAATGTTGTTCTGGGGCAGGATAAGTGTGTGAGTGGGGAGTGCGTGATGCTGAGCATTGCAGCAGTCCTATCGAGGAGAAGTGAATGGAGAGTCCCTGAACTCTGGGGTCTTCTTGAGCAATGGTTCATGTGCTTGGTGTTGTTACTGCAGCAAGATGTCAACATGGATCCGTGTCTTGTCTCAATTCAGAGGAAAACAGCTCTTCAAACGAAGATGAAGTCACAAATCACCGGTTTCTTTTTCTCTTCTGAAAATCAACAGTACAGCCTGTTATATATTTTTGATGGAACAACTGGTGTCAAGATCTGAGAGCAGCAGATGCAGCCTTTTTTCTTTGAACTGAATTATGATAGTAATAGTGTGCACACTTTTCAATTCCTGTTAGTCATATCTATAGTTTGTGGTACAATAAATTATTTAAATTTGTGAATGCTCAAATTGTAATGTATTGTCATTGTATGTTAATCTACTTGTATTTATTTGATTTGATCTATTTATTAACTTTATTTTATTGTTTAGTAAATCAAAAAATGCAACCCTGCTGGTCTATCATGACCATAAAGATTTAAAACAGGGAGTCTTCTACATCAATATTTTTAAAAAAAACTATATAGACAACTGTCCACACTTGATTCTTTTATATATCTTATTTTATTTTAAATAATTTTGTAGCATTTTTCATTGCAAATATTTTATAACTGACAAAGTTTTGATAATTTTATAAAAGTTTTCTCCTTCATTTATGTTATTTCCTTTATCGGTAAAGTATCTTCAGATACCCACGGCTTAAAAAGAAAGTAAGTATTTATTATTTATTTAATATTAAATATTGATATGGTTGTATATTTATTTAGTTATTTATGTGTGTGTTGTGATGGCTGAGTCTCAGTAGTCTTAAAGTCCATTGCTAATATTTAAATTAAATAAAAAACCATGCTCAGAAAGAATAAATACAATATTGTTTGATTACTTAGGCTTTCCTAGATATACCAGCAGTTGTAAAAACAAAACAAAAGCAATCACTGTTCTGTTAGTATCAGAGCATCTTTGTGTCAGCGATGATTTGTTTGCTTTTTGTCAGGAAAAATAAGACCAAGAAAATAGATAGATATAAGGATCAAATGTTACCTCTCCAAGCGCTTTGTAGCGGCCAACACTGGCTAACCCAAAACATCTTTAATGTACCATAGATGTTTTAATGCCTTTTTGATAAATTATTTTTCTCTGTTCATTATTTTCTCTCAATGTGTTGAGCAGAAGCTCCATAGAGCTCTGTCCCAGAGTGTTCCATCTAGACTGGATGTCTGGTTCTAAAACACTTAAAGGACATCAAGGAAAAACTAAACCAACAAGGAGGATGACCTTTTTGACAATTTATATCAGATCCACTTCTACGCCCTTGTAGCCTTATTCTAGATGACATTTGTTGATGCACAAAGTGCCACTAAACCCTCACTTTCTTTCCTGATTCTTTGCATTCTGCAATGTACAATGTCTGGTCACGTGACATGACCAGGGCATCAGACCGAGAGTTGGGATTGTTTCAGATGCCTTTATTTCTTTGCCAAGATGGCCATAAGTACACTATATATACATTCTGTATAAATATAATTTAAAATGCTATATATATGAATAGAAACATACATATATTTTTCCAGTGTAATTGTTGACTCTTTTTCTCTTGTATTAGCTTATCAAAGGAACAATACCTGTCTGAGAGTTGTGACGACTAGAGGCGGTGATGACTATGGCTTTAAAGATACTCAACAAAACTGTCATGGTAAAAGTAAAAAGGCATTTACAATATTTGGGATTGTTTTTTAGGTTTCCTTTTCTATGGATTTCTCTATCCTTGATCCAGACATAATAATAATAATAATAATAATAATAATAATAATACATGTGACTTCTATAACGCTTTTCAAGGACCCAAAGTCGAAATGTTTTAAATGCTAATGTATGTTGTACTGAATCTGAAATGACTGTCATTTTAACTAAATGGTTGGCTCTTTGTTCAAGTGTCCTGTGAGTGAGTTCATGTATAGAGGCCTCTTCATAGTGGTCACATTGGCTCTATATTGTGCAGTACTGTGTCGTTATGATGAGGTTATGATCATGTCAGCCCGCTGAGAGGAGTTTTCAAACACGGATCACAATGTTAAAAAGCCAATAGGGAAAGTGTAGTACTTGCTCTGAGTGATCTGTTGCAGCTAGTGGGAGACCCTGTGATAATATGATGAGGTAGCCTATTGGGAGACCCTGTGATAATATGATGAGGTAGCCTATTGGAGACCCTGTGATAATATGATGAGGTAGCCTAGTGGGAGACCCTGTGATAATATGATGAGGTAGCCTAGTGGGAGACCCTGTGGTAATATGATGAGGTAGCCTATTGGGAGACCCTGTGATAATATGATGAGGTAGCCTATTGGGAGACCCTGTGATAATATGATGAGGTAGCCTATTGGGAGACCCTGTGATAATATGATGAGGTAGCCTAGTGGGAGACCCTGTGATAATATGATGAGGTAGCCTATTGGGAGACCCTGTGATAATATGATGAGGTAGCCTATTGGGAGACCCTTGTAATTGATGAGGTAGCCTATTGGAACCCGTGAATGATGGTAGCCTATTGGGAGACCCTGTGATAATATGATGAGGTAGCCTATTGGGAGACCCTGTGGTAATATGATGAGGTAGCCTATTGGGAGACCCTGTGGTAATATGATGAGGTAGCCTAGTGGGCATGGATGGTGTAATTGGCTTTTAGCCAGTGTTTTTTTTAATAATCATTGAAAATGCCATCATTTGAGCATGGACTTCTAAGAGCACACTGGGTAATGGCCGCTAGCAAAGCACCGGTATTTACCCCACCAGAAGAAACAAAGAACTGCATATTTGCCCTGTTTGTTATGTTTAATGTAAATCTAAACACTGAGATGTAGAACGCCCTTTGCTTCAGTGTCCGGGGGTTTGATTCAATTGATGCTATCGCGTTTTTATATCTGGCAGTAATACTTTTCAGACCAAACATTTTGACCAACCCCTCTATTCTTTTAATAGAGGGGATGCAGAGTTTGGCTCGCAGGTTACTGGGAAGAGCTGACTAAAGCAAGCTTGCGGCGATAGCAGGGATTGGATCAAGCCCTCCAAGTGAAAAGAGAGGAACGTGTGGGAGTGGAGATTGATTCGCAGCGTTAGAGGAATCCCTCTTGGTTTGAAAGAGGTGTTTGTTGCATAAATATATGTCCATTACTCAGAATGTCAAAACCTTTAATGGCTTCTCCCCTTCTGTCTTGTGTAACCTTTCCTCAGGAAGGAGTTCATGATGCATTTAGTTAAGAAAGTAGCTTATTCTTCCTCCTCCATTTAATAAACGAGCATACTACACGAGAACTGCACTGAGGTACTGAGATGAAATAGCAAAATGACAGACAAACACATTTATAAAGATAGGTACAGAACTCACTGTAATCATTTATAAAGATAGGTGCAGAACTCACTGTAATCATTTATAAAGATAGGTACAGAACTCACTGTAATCATTTATAAAGATAGGTACAGAACTCACTGTAATCATTTATAAAGATAGGTGCAGAACTCACTGTAATCATTTATAAAGATAGGTACATAACTCACTGTAATCATTTATAAAGATAGGTGCAGAACTCACTGTAATCATTTATAAAGATATGTACAGAACTCACTGTAATAATTTATAAAGATAGGTGCAGAACTCACTGTAATCATTTATAAAGATAGGTGCAGAACTCACTGTAATCATTTATAAAGATAGGTACAGAACTCACTGTAATCATTTATAAAGATAGGTACAGAACTCACTGTAATCATTTATAAAGATAGGTGCAGAACTCACTGTAATCATTTATAAAGATAGGTACAGAACTCACTGTAATCAAAAGTGTTAACAGCTTGTCCATTTGATAATGAGTGATGGACATATTCTTCATATAAGGAGTTTATGTCTTCTGTATTTGTAATGGTTCAGTATTTTCCAAATGGTCGACTGTGATGGGATAGAAGCATTGAAGCTGAACTGTGTCAAATTGGCCCTGACTAGGGTGTTTGACTGGTTGGTGAAAGACATGGTCATGTTACGCCAACCAATGTCATGCTGTGTTGACACTACATTTGACTACATGGATGATAATGTTCACGTCTGCGGA